CAGTACTTTCAATAAGAAAATACCCTCTGACCATGTCCTGCATGTATTATCCATCCAACCCCTGCTGCTAAACTTTTCAGGGACAGGTAACCATCCACTGAGGCAGCCTGTTCATTTTTTCTCTTTCGTTCATTGATCCTTATGCTCTCCAATATTCAGAGAATTATATCTGATTAATCTACCACATCTTTCAGATATTTAAAAGCAGTTATGTGCCTTTGGCAAATATTCAGGCAGTATATCTATCTTTGCATTCTAGCTTTCTTTCTCTCTTATGGGTTATTAGCAAAGAACTGAAGGGTATGCTTTAGCGTTATTTATTATAAAGAGAAGATTGTCTTAGTTCTTAATTGAAAATGCAAGTAAGTAAAGTATTTCAGTTTCTGTTTCACAGTAAAATAAGTTGCCTTTCACTTCAGTCCTGTTACATCCTTGGTCAAAATCAAGATTTACTTTATTCCCTTTTGCCTGATTTTGGTTCTCTTAAGATAAGTAATGAGGAATTTCAAGATACCAAGAGATCTTAGAGGCCAGTCAGAGGACAGTCCCCTGCCCCTTTTGTACTAAAACCATTATTACTTTAAAAAAAAAAAAAAAAGGCTGGGCACAGAGGCTCACTCACGCCTGGAATCCCAGCACTTTGGGAGGCCAAGGTGGGCAGATCACGCAGTCGGGAGATCAAGACCATCCTGGCTAACACGGTGAAACCCCGTCTCTACTAAAAAATAGAAAAAATTAGCCGGGCGTGGTGGCAGGCACCTGTAGTCCCAGCTACTCAGGAGGCTGAGGCAAGAGAATGGCGTGAACCCAGGAGGCGGAGCTTGCAGTGACACAACAGTGTAACAACCAGATATTATTACATGTATCGCAGCCCTCTGCTTATGAGATGTAACTCTTCAAGGCTTTCCTCACAATCAGGAATAGTTTCACAGTGGGACAACATTCTGCCCCTTTTATACTCTAAGAGTAGATATGATGTGACTGAACCTCACCATAGCCATCCTATTACCTCACATTCATTAGGTTCAATGAATGTCCCCTTTGTTCTTTAATAACAAGGTTAAACATCAAGTTGGTATGATTTTTAAAATATATTTCTCAAAAAGACTTTGCCCAATCTGGGCAACGTAGGAAAACCCGATCTCTGCAAAAAGTTTTTAAAAAATTAGCCAGGTGTGGTGGTACATGCCTCTTGTCCCAGCTACTCTGGAGGCTGAGGCATGAGTCTCACTTGAGCCCAAGATGTTGAGGCTGCAGTGAGCCATGATTGCAGTACTGCACTCCAGCCTGGGTAACAGAATGAGAGCCTATCTCAAAAACAAAAAGTAAAAAACGTTTTCAAGTATTACATGTTCAGTTTTTTGCAATAATGTAAACTATATCTTTCTCAAAAGGTACACACAGGTCTTAATGTGACTTACTTGAAAACAGTCAACAGTTACAACTTAGTTATTTTCACTTTTCTCTCCCCAAAGGAGTTTTTGTTTAACCATTACAGGTGTGGTTCTTAATATGGTTTCAAGCCTACAAGTGGGAATTTGAACAGCGGTCTCCTAGAATCTTCTCTTGAAAAGTTTTACTTTGCCATGAATTTGTGGTTCTTCAGAAAAATATTGTTCCCTATTACCAATTAATGTTGTTGGCTTCATAAAGGAAATAAGAGATAATAGCAAAGTGTTGGAAACTGGAAAGCAAATAAACATAGCAGACTGTCTGAATCCTAAGCCAGAGGGAAAAACCAAGAAGCAACCAAGTATACCCAGCAAAACCTGCAGACATTCAGGATTTGGAGATGCTAGGAACCTTGGAAGTGGGGATGGGGTAAAGGTAAGCCAAAAACAGGAGAGTTTATAGAAAGTTTGTTTAAATGAACAGTTGGTCTTCAAGCCATGTCCTCTACCCTAGCATAAAACTGGTGCTTTATTCCCTGAAGAGCGCAAAACAGAAGGGCATCCAGACTGGGGAGCATTGGGCACAGTTGAGATGTGAATGCGATCTTGAAAACAGATAAAATGAGTGTATGCAAACTGAATGCTGAGATGCCCAGTCTTCATTCCTCACTCAGCTAACAGAATGCTGCCTAACTGCCCTGAACCTCCAAGCAGGAAACTGAAATGCTTTTCTGGGGAACTGACCTGCCCGAGAATGAAGACCTGAAGATTCGACACTGGGTCATCCGCAAGGAAAAAACCCAGCCCATTCATTTTACAGTAAAGCCCAGAGTCAACAAACCCACAGATCAGAACCTCCGATCAGCTTTTTAGCACCTACTCTCAAATATGAGCAGAGAACAGAGGATCACTAGATACCTGAGTAAAGCCTCTTGCACAAAAGATAAAGGCCAGACAAATAGTGGGGGAAAGATAGCTTGGATGAAACAGAGACTTTCAGAGAAAATAAAACTTTAACAACAAGAAAAAAAAACAGTGATTATATCCTCAGAGAGATATGAGAAGAAATTACAATCACAGGACATGAACAGAATGATACATTTTATGAAAGGAACATTCAGGAAACCGAAAAGCTCTGAGCAATCAAAACTACAATAGCAGAAATAACAAGACAATGTTTAGAAGATAAAGCTGTGTAACCCTCCCAGAAAGAAACCCCCTCCCTCAAAAAAGATGAAGCAATAGGAAATAGAGACAAGATACAAAAATTGGAGAACCCGGTCAAAAAAATTTTAATAGAACTGGAAATTGAAATGTGGTACAGGCCTCATAAATAATTTTAAAATTTAGCCACAATGGAAAAATTTAAAAATAGGTAAAATTAATTTTGTTGTATATCTGTTTTGTATTTGTACTGAGAAAACATCTCAAATTTGATTAGCCACATTCAGATGCTCAAAAGGCCACATTTGGCTAGTAGCTATACCATACTGGGCTATGTAGATCTCAATAACTGTTCTTAAGGAAAAAAAAAAAAAAAAGAAGGAGGGAAAGGGCAGGGAAGAGAGATACAAACATTTTCAAGGTCTGAAGGATTCAGTTTCCAAACTGAATAGGCTCTCAGAAAAGTCCAGCGAGATAGATGAGTTAGATCTCAACCAAGGCCATCATGATATTTCAAACTACTAAGGACTCAGAGAAACCTCTGCAGGCTTCTAAGGAAAAAAACAAAATGAGTTACAGTCAAAGGAATAGATACCAATAAAGCTTTAGACTTCTTATCAATACTGGATAGACAATGGATCAATACTTTTTAAAGTATGAAGGAAAAGGCCAGGCACAGTAGCTTGCACCTAAAATTCCAGCACTTTGGGAGGTCAAGACAGGAGGATCCCTTGAGGCCAGGAGTTCGAGACCAGTGTGGGCAATATAGTGAGACCCTGACTCTACAAAAAAAAAAAAAAAACACTTTATTATTAGCCAGGCTGGATGCCGTGGCTCATACCTGTAATCCCAGCACTTCGGGAGGCCTAGGCGGGCGGATCACCTGAGGTCAGAAATTCGAGACCAGTCTGGTCAATATGGTGAAACCCCGTCTCTCCTTAAAAAAATTAGTTGGACGTGGCGGCAGGCACCGGTCATCCCAGCCACTTTGGAAGCTGAGGCAGGAGAATCACTTGAACCCAGGAGGCAGAGGTTGCAGTGCCGAGATCGGACCACTGCACTCCAGCTTGGGCAATAGAGTGATAGAGTAAGATGCCATCTGAAAAAAAAAAAAAAAAATTTAGCCAGGCATCGTGGTGTGCACCTGTGGTTCCAGCTACTTGGAAAGATTGCTTGAGGCCAGGAGTTCAAGGCTGCAATGAGCCATGTCGTGCCTCTACTCCAGTCTGGGCAGCAAAGTGAGACCCCATCTCTAAAGTTTAAAAAAAAAAAAATCTGAAGGCGAAACACCGCAAACCTCTAATTCTATAACTAGCCAAAATACCAACCATATTAGAGGGTAGAGACATTTTCAAAGATCCAAGATCTCAAAAAATATACCTGCCATGCTCCTTCATTCAGGAAGCTGCTAGAGAATGCGCAGAGTAACAAAGTAATGAAGAAACAAAATAAGGAATGAGGAAAGTGCGAGAAACAAGAAATAGGAGAAAGGCAAAAGGAATCCCTGGATGAAACTGAGCAAGGCCTAGTGACTAAGCAGCCCAGATTAGAATAAGTCAGAAGGAACCAAGGAAGACTTAATCAAGAACATGCCATTGACAGAGTACCTCATGGGACTGAGTGTGGATTTAGACAACTGACAGAGATTTGGGGTTGACTTAGTAGCAAGTACACAGAAAACTGAGCAAATAAGAGATTAAAGAAAAATATAAAATTATAAATTCTGAATGTTGAGCAAGTTAACTGTATTAAGAGGATGAGAAGGACATGTAGATAAAGTGGTGACAAATTATAAAAGAACTAAAGTTCAACTTTCACAGTGTGAAATCAATACTTTTTGTTTGCTTGGTTGGTTGGTGGTTTGGTTTTTTTTCTTGAGGCGGGCATCTCATTCTTTCACCCAGGCTGGAGTGCAGTGGTGCAATCTTGGCTCACTGCACCCTCGACCTCCCAGGCTCAAACAATCCTCCCACCTCAGCCTCCCAAGTAGCTGGCACTACAGGCATGCACCACCACGCCCAGCTAGTTTTTTGTATTTTTAGTAGAGATGGGGTTTCACCATGTTGGCCAGGCTGATCTCGAACTCCTGACCTCAAGTGATCTGCCCGCCTCGGTCTCCCAAAGTGCTGGAATTACAGGCATGAGCCACCACACCCAGCCTCTAATAATAGTTCTGAAAAGAAATACAAGAAAGGAGCAATATAGGCGTGTTATCTGAAAATAGGAAGGTAAAAAGCAGAATAATCAGGGTTGAACATGGTTGGTTCTGGGTGGAAAAATAAAGGGAAGAAGGGGTCTGCCATTTTCTCTAGCAAACTTTGTAAAACTGTATCTAAGCCTGAAGTGTACGTAATATGTAACTTTTATTTTAAAAGAAACATACTAAATCTGGATAAATAAAAAGTATTTACCAGGCCCAGGATAATGATTGTCCTTATCGCCTAGCATTGAGTATTGGTTCCGCTGCATGGATGTGGATGGAGATGGTATACTCTCCATGTATGAGCTGGAGTACTTCTATGAGGAGCAGTGTGAGCGGATGGAAGCCATGGGAATTGAGCCCTTGCCATTCCATGATTTACTGTGCCAGATGCTTGACCTAGTGAAGCCAGCTGTTGATGGTGAGACCAAGCAATGGGACATTTGCACTGTTCACCTGTGTATCAGAGGGGGACACAGAATCCTAGATTGTCCTAAATTGTTTAACATTTCAGAGTCTTGATAGAAGACTTCCCAGTACAGAAGTGTTTAAAGTTGCTCCTTGACTATTAGTGTAGCAACCCTTTTTTTTTTTTTTTTTTTTTTTTTTTTGAGATGCAGTCTCGCTTTGTCTGCCAGGCTGGAGTACAATGGTGTAGTCTCGGCTCACTGCAACCTCCACCTCCTGGAATCAAGCGATCCTCCTGCCTCAGCCTCCCAAGTAGCTGGGATTATAGGCGACCACCACCACGCCCAGCTATTTGTGTATTTTTAGTAGAGATGGGGTTACACCATGTTGGCCAGGCTGGTCTCAAACTCCTGACCTCAGGTGATCCACCCACCTTGGTCTCCCAAAGTGCTGGGGTTATAGGCGTGAGCCACCATGCCCAGTCTTGGTGTAGCAATTGATGGCAAGTCTACTATTTAAGAAACAGGATTTTACACCAGGCACAGTGGTGTGTGCCTATAGTCCCAGCTACTAAGGAGGCTGAGGTGGGAGTATTGCATTATGATTGTTCCTGTGAGTAACCATTGCACTCCAGCCTGGGCAACACAGCGAGACCCTATCTCTTTTTTAAAAAGAAAATGAACGTAGGGTTTGGGAGATGAAAGAAGATTTTTCCTTAGAAAGCACATGAGGAGAGACGGGGAAGGACTGCTTGATGGGCACAGTTTCCTTTTGGGGTGATATTATTACAGAACTAGATAGTGGTAATGGTGTTGCAACATTGTGAGTGTACTAAAAGCCACTGAATTGTGCACTTTAAAGTTGTTTAAATGGTGAACTTTGTTAGTGAATTTTACCTCAATTTAAAAAAAGAAATGGGTTTGAGAAATTGATACTCTTGAAAAAAGAAATGGGATTTAAATTTTTTTATTCTGAAAATAAGACTTTTACAATAAACATATACCTATACTTTTAGATGTCAGTGGAAGTTTTTTTCTCTTGCCAACACAGGTCTTCATGAAATTTACCAGATTTGTTTATTTTTATGTAGGCAAAATAACTCTAAGAGATCTGAAGAGGTGCAGAATGGCTCACATCTTCTACGACACTTTCTTTAATCTGGAGAAATACTTAGACCATGAACAGAGAGATCCCTTTGCGGTCCAGAAGGTACCAGTATAATTTTAACGTTTATTTGAGGGCTGCAGTATCAGGGGCTGTGTGTGCTACATATTAAAATGGTCTCTGCATGCTGGAATTTCAGTAAAGAGGTAATAATTTATAACATTTCATTAAAGAGTAAAAAGAGACAATAAAGGACCTGTAGAGCACATGTCTCTCCACAGCTGATCGTCAGGTCTAGGTAACCTGCATCTGCATAAGTACCTTCCACTGAGCAGACTCTATAGCTCATCTACTGATACACACACTGGAAACTAGTTACAAAAGAGTAGTTCTGAAAAAAAATTTTCCTTCTAACTTTTAAAAATATATCAATAGGCACATCTGTATTAGAAACTATATTGGCCTCTATTCAGTTGTACCATTCATTTCCAGGATTCCATGGTAATTAGCTTTCCCCATCATGGTGAAAACTAGAGTTCTCCATGATAGAAAACCTTCAAATAATATAACACTTTTTCACATGTTAATGATTGCTATACATGGCTATCAGTTTTGAATGCATTCTACATCTGAATAAAGATGAATACCCTTCCCCAGACACACAAACCTGTGAACCCTCAGAAAACCCTATACATACTGTCCATGTTAAAAATAAAAACAATGTCACCCCTTGTTCTTACCATTCCTCTAAGAAGTAAAAATGATGTTAAGAACAGACTGTTGCAGTTGTGTAACAATAAACTATAAGAAGCTTTTGCAGTCTTTTTTCGTCTACATGTTCCGTAACTGTTTGAGTTATGGAATACTAATAAGAATATGATCACCTTCTAAATAAGATAAATAAGAATTTATCGCCTTCCAGAAAGAAATATTCTGCAGCTGATCTCAGCATATCAAGTTGCATTATCGCTGGTTTAAAGTCTATTATATTTCATTGAATTTAACATGCTCCATAATTTTATATGTGTTTCTCTTTGTGTGTGTGTGTGTGTGTGCGCGCGCGCGCGCGCATGTGTGTGTGAGACGGAGTTTCGCTCTTGTTGCCCAGGCTGGAGTGCAATGGTGTGATGTCAGCTCACCACAGCCTCCGCCTCCCAGATTCAAGTGATTCTCCTGCCTCAATCTCCTGAGTACTGGGATTACAGGCATGCACCACCACACCCAGCTAATTTTGAATCTTTAATAGAGACAAGATTTCTCCATATTGGTCAGGCTGGTCTCGAACTCCCCACCTTGGGTGATCTGCGCACCTCAGCCTCCCAAAGTGCTGGAATTACAGGCGTGAGCCGCTGCGCCCGGCCTATTTTATATTTCTCTAAGCAAAAACAAAACCCCAGACATTGCCAGTTGTAAGCCTATAATGCATTGCAATTTCATAAATGTTAGAAAGGTAGAGGTGGGTCTTAAAATGAATTAAATATAGTAATTAATAGTGGTCATTGTTTAGGAACTTAACATTATTCTTGGCATAACTAACTGTAGACCCGAGGGCAATACTGACTCCCATGTTCAGCTTGGAAAGACATTTTATCTGAAACATAAAATTTCAAGAAAATTGACAAAAGTCTGTGGTCTTTTCCCTCTTTACTTATTTTCTGTGTGTGACCATTTTTACTCTAAAAATTTTACCTTTAAATTTTACTTTTCTTTATAAATGGTATAATTATTGATGTTTGTTCTGATCTACAAAGAACATTATCAGTCAGGAAGTGCTTAATAAATTCTGGGCACTGCGTTGAAGAGATACTGGATATTTGGAGATGGCAGAGATACAAGAACAAAAGGTGTCAACCAAAGTATCTGCATTAGAAAAAAGGAAGTGATACGGGGAAAAGGACTTTCCAGGAAGATATCACAGACAACATGGTATCTGAGTTGGCTTCTAAAGAACAAAAATTTGCCAGCGAATGCGGGCTTGGGGAAGGTACATTTCAGGCGGGCCTGTGGCAAAACACGTCACTCCAGGTGACTGCTGTGCAAAGTGCCAGAGGAGAGGGGACCAGAGAAATGTCTCTGATTACAAGGCTAAAGAATCTAGACTTACCAGGTGCTATGGCTTGTGCTTGTAATCCCAGCTACTTAGGAAGCTAAGACAGGAGGATCACTTGAGGCCAGGGGTTCGAGACCAGCCTGGGCAACATAGTGAGACCCTGTGTCTACAAAAAAACTTTAAAATTAGCAGGGCATGGTGACATGCCTGCAGTCTCAGCTACTTAGTAGGTGGAATGCCTGTAGTCTCAGCTACTCAGTAGGCTGAGGTAGGAAAGTCACTTGAGCCCAGATTTTGAGGCTGGCAGTAAGCTATTATTGTACCACTGCACTCCAGACTGGGCAACAGAGTGGGACCCTGTCTCTTTTGAAAAAAAAGAGTTGGAATCAGCCAGGCATGGTGGCTCACACCTGTAATCCCAGCACTTTGGGGGGCTGAGGCAGGCAGATCGCCTGAGGTCAGGAGTTCGAGACCAGCCTGGCCAACATGGCGAAACCCTGTCTCTACAAAATACAAAAATTAGCTGGACGTGGTGGCACTTGCCTGTAGTCCCAGCTACTTGGGAGGCTAAAGCCGATCGCCAGACATTGCTTGAACCCAGAAGGCAGAGGCTGCAGTGAGCTGAGATCGTGCCACTATACTGCAGCCTAGGTGACAGAATGAGACTCCATCTCAAAAAAAAAAAAAAAGAAAAAGGAAAAAATGGAACTATACCTAAAAAACCTAGCTTCTAAACAGTTAAATTTTCCCTTTTGAGGTGTAGAAAATTACCGTAGGAGTGTTACTTTAGCACCTCTTTTAAACCTGTTGAAATGAAACATTTCAGGTAGGATTTTTTCACAGTATACATTTGTGTGATGATCTATCTCCAATTCTTTGTCTTTGATTATTTTTGTTTCTTGTGGCTGTCTTCTTTCCAATCAGGATGTTGAGAACGATGGGCCTGAGCCCTCAGACTGGGACCGGTTTGCTGCTGAGGAGTATGAGACTCTTGTTGCAGAGGAATCTGCCCAAGCACAATTCCAGGAAGGGTGAGTGAGTTTCCCTATGTCTTGTAGAACTTTTTAACAGGAATGTGCATGTCCAGAATATTCAGACCCCCTTACAAAATCCTTTTCTATTTTTTCCATTTTTGAATAGCATAAAAATGTGATTTAACCAACTTCAGTTAAATGATTACCTTTTCCAGCAATCTTCACTCATTTCCTGATAGTCTTCTCATGTCCATTTCCTTTAACAAGTCTCATCTTTCACTGGAAATCAAAATCACTGAACAATCAAACTACTATTTTGCTGATATTGATAAACCCTGTACATAAAGGAGGAGGCTAAAAGAACTAAAGCTGTGGCCAGGCACGGTGGCTCACACCTGTAATCCCAGCACTTTGGAAGGCCAAGGCAGGCGGATAACCAGAGGTCGGGAGTTTGAAACCAGCCTGACCAACATGGAGAAACCCTGTCTCTACTAAAAATACAAAATATTAGCCAGGTGTGGTGGCACAAGCCTGTAATCCCAGCTACTTGGAAGGCTGAGGCAGGAGAATTGCTTTTACCTGGGAGGCAGAGGTTGCAGTGAGCCAAGATCGCGCCATTGCACTCCACCTTGAGCAATGAGCAAAAATCTGTCTCCAAAAAAATAAATAAATAAAATAAACTAAAGCTCCCTCAGTAATAAAGATGATTATGTTTAGAACAAATTATTATACATGGTTTTGTGCAGGAAGTAACTTCTACATGTATTTCTACTAGTCAGAGCATAATTCCATAAAGGGACCATGTTAAGAAATTTAATTATCCAAGAATTTGACTCCTTGGATCATTTCAGCAACTTTATAATTTGCTGTTTTTTTCCATCATCTTCTAGTAACTCCTTCTGTAATTCTTCTAATTCTTCCTTATTAAGTCATAGCTTCTGTAAAGGCCTCAATTAATCTTTCTCATTAATGTAGTGTACTTTTTGAACAGGCACTATTCATATGATATAATATTCAATGAAACAAAAGAAATAGTAAGAAGTTTCCTCCTACCCAGTTCTCCTCCCCAGAAGCTACAAGTGTCATCATGTTCTTGCTTACCCTTCCAAAGAGCCTCTCTCTCCATCTATCTAAGTATATATAGAAAGATAGATGAATTTTTTTTTCTTTTTTTGAGACAGTGTCTCAAATGTGGTCTCTGATGTGGTCCATTCAGGTCAGCCTCCTGAGGCATAGAGATCGGGGAAGAGCAGGTTTAGAGGGATAAACAGAAACTATCCAGCCCCATAGATAAAGTCAAATAGTCCTCAATATAGATTGTACCAATTTATACCTCTACCATTAAATATTAGCTTTTTTGAGGGTGCTGAACCAAGCCATCACCAAAGCACTTTCTTTCATTGAGAGATTTCTTTAACCTGCTTAGCCACAAAACTAGGATTTCATTTTTATGGCGATGACCTGGAAACCCTTAAAATCATTCATTGTGCACTCAGTATCTTAAGCCTGACTGCATGAGAATATAGAGAAATGGATTCACAAGCATGATTTAAAGGTTTTTTTGGCGTTGAGCTTCCATACAAGGAATTACGGTTAGCGTACCAATCTTAAGAGGCAACATTGCTGCAGTTAAGAATATGTGTGGATTGGGCCGGGCGCGGTGGCTCACGCCTGTAATCCCAGCACTTCGGGAGGCTGAGACGGGTGGATCACGAGGTCAGGAGATCGAGACCATCCTGACTAACACGGTGAAACCCCATCTCTACTAAAAAAATACAAAAATTAGCTGGGCGCAGTGGCGGGCGCCTGTAGTCCCAGCTACACGGGAGGCTGAGGCAGGAGAATGGCGTGAACCCAGGAGGCGGAGCTTGCAGTGAGTGGAGATCGCTCTATGGCACTCAAGCCTGGGCGACAGAGCGAGACTCCGTCTCAAAAAAAAAAAAAAAAAAAAAAAAAGAATATGTGTGGTCCAGTCACTCATGCCTGTAATCCTAGCACTTTGGGAGACTGAGGCAAAGAGGTCGCCTGAGCCTAGGAGTTTGAGACCAGCCTGGGCAATGTGGTGAAACCCCATCTCTACAAAAAATACAAAAATTAGCCTGGTGTAGTGGTGTGTGCCTGTAGTCCCAGCTACTCAGGAGGCTGAGGTGGGAAGATCACTTGAGCATGGGAGGCAGAGGCTGCAGTGAGCTGAGATTGCACAACTGCACTCCAGCCTGACAGACAGAGCTAGACCCTGACACACACACACACACATACACACACACCCCAAGTGTGGATGTTTATAATAGTGAAAATTTGGAAGCCATCTAGATATCTAATGGGAAGATTAATAAAATTATACTGCATGTACCCCGTACAGTTCTATTAAGCATGAAAATCATTTTGTGGATGTGTACTTCTGGACTTTAATTAGGAAAAACTGGAGGTGAGGAAGAAGACTATGAAAGATCAAGTAAAATGTAATAGAAAAGAACAAAAAAAGTATCCAAAAGAAAATTAAGTATATGTAAGGAGAGCAAATGGGATCTTATTTATGTATTTTAGACAAAAGAATATATAAAATAGCAAAATATATTAAAAGACAATAGAAAAGCTTTTTTGAAATAAAAGAAAACCTGAATAGGAAAGGTCAGAAATCACGCCATGTCCAGGAAATACTGATAATTAATAGTGATGGACCCCAGATTTGCATTGTGAATTTACTAGAACTCAAGGATGAATAAAGGTATATCATTGAGGTTTTTTTTTTTTCCAATTTTAAAAATTCAAGTCACCAGACAACTGGTTAAAAAAAAAAAAAATCAGCATGCCTCCATAAAATTGAATACTGAAGGACCATGAAACAGTGTTTGCAACTTCCTCACAGAAAGAAACTCTATATCCAAGAATTTTATACCAAGCCAAGGTGGTATTCAAGCATAAAGACACAGATAGATATTGTCAAACATATGAGAACTAGAGATTATATAATACCCAGGAGCTCTTCCTTAAAAAGTACATAATCTTAAAACCAAGAGACAAGCCAAAATAAAAGGCTCAGAAATGAGCAGCGATGGTAGAAAAGAAATAATAGTGAGTATTCAATCTATTTAAATGTAGAAATGAGGCTAAACAACTAAGGACATTAAAAGAGAGCAGAACATAATATTCCATAAAAAAAAAAATAGTGTAACTGAAGATGTAAAAAGAAGGAAGTAAATATATGTGTAAGTTTCATTAGCAGGGTCTCAACAGATGCTGTCAAAAGCTGATAAGTTGGGGGTTTAAGAAAATTAAACTGTTACAAAACTAAAGCCAGACTAAACATTCTAATTAAATCAGAAAACATGTACACACAAAAGAAAAACACAGACCATGCAGCATAAACTAAAGATGCCAGAACTAATGCAAATATTTCTAGAACAGTGAATGTAAAAGGAATAAAGTCACTTACCAAAATAAAAAGATTCAATTATTGCATGACAACAACAAAGGTTGAATGTAAAAATAATTAAAACCCCCAAAAAACTATCTTGATAACGTCAGATTTTTATTTTTTATTATTTTTTTTATTATACTTTAAGTTCTAGGGTACATGTGCACAACGTTAGGTTTGTTACATATGTATACATGTGCCATGTTGGTTTGCTGCACCCATTAACTCATCATTTACATTAGATATATCTCCTAATGCTATCCCTCCCCCGTCCCCCAATCCCACAACAGGCCCCAGTGTGTGATGTTCCCCTTCCTGTGTCCAAGTGTTCTCATTGTTCAATTCCAACCTATGAGTGAGAACAAGAGGTGTTTGGTTTTCTGTTCTTGCAATATTTGCTGAGAATGATGGTTTCCAACTGCATCCATGTCCCTACAAAGGACATGAACTCATCCTGACTTTTTAATGATCACCATTCTAACTGGTGTGAGATGGTATCTCATTGTGGTTTTGGTTTGCATTTCTCTGATGGCAAGTGGTGATGAGCATTTACATGTGTCTGTTGACTGTATGCATGTCTTCTTTTGAGAAGTGTCTGTTCATATCCTTTGCCCACTTTTGGATGGGGTTGTTAGTTTTTTTCTTATAAATTTGATTGAGTTCTTTATAGGATCTGGATATTAGCCCTTTGTCGGATGAGTAGATTGCAAAAATTTTCTCCCATTCTGTAGGTTGCCTGTTCACTCTGATGGTAGTTTCTTTTGCCATGCAGAAGCTCTTTAGTTTAATTAGATCCCATTTGTCAATTTTGGCTTTTGTTGCCATTGCTGTTGGTGTTTTAGACATGAAGTCCTTGCCCATGCCTATGTCCTGAATGGTATTACCTAGGTTTTCTTCTAGGGTTTTTATGGTTTTAGGTCTAACATTTAAGTCTCTAATCCATCTTGAATTAATTTTCGTATAAGGAGTAAGGAAAGGATCCAGTTTCAGCTTTCTACTTACGGCTAGCCAATAAATGATTGCCATTCTAACTGGTGTGAGATGGTATCTCATTGCAGTTTTGATTTGCATTTCTCTGCTGGCTAGTGATGATGAGCATTTTTTCATGTATCTCTTGGCTGCATACATGTCTTCTTTTGAGAAGTGTCTGTTCATATCCTTTGCCCACTTTTTGATGGGATTGTTTGTTTTTTTCTTGTAAATTTGTTTGAGTTCTTTGTAGTTTCTGGATATTAGCCCTTTGTCAGATGAGTAGATTGCAAAAATTTTTCCCATTCTGTAGGTTGCCTGTTCACTCTGATGGTAGTTTCTTTTGCTGTGCAGAAGCTCTTTAGTTTAATTAGATCCCATTTGTCAATTTTGGCTTTTGTTGCCATTGCTGTTGGTGTTTTAGACATGAAGTCCTTGCCCATGCCTATGTCCTGAATGGTATTGCCTAGGTTTTCTTCTAGGGTTTTTATGCTTTTAGGTCTAACTTTTAAGTCTCTAATCCATCTTGAATTAATTTTTGTATAAGGTGTAAGGAAGGGATCCAGTTTCAGCTTTCTACTTATGGCTAGCCAGTTTTCCCAACACCATTTATTAAATAGGGAATCCTTTCCTCATTTCTTGTTTTTGTCAGGTTTGTCAAAGATCAGAT